TTGTCATTCATTTTCTTTTCCTAAATGATTTCATTTGGATTCAGTTATGCCCTCATCTTCCTCTTTCAAGGGGCTGAATCTTTTGAACCTGGGGGTCTACCACGCTTCAGGCGTGCAACAAATGAATCATTCCCTGCCACTTTATTTTGTCCAACAGGGACATCAATTCTTGCAGGCGCATTTATAGCTGGTATATGTGATTTTGTCACTTTCGTAGTATCATTAAATGCATCTGACATTTGATTAGCAATACTCTGAAGATGAACGATCATTTTCACTTCATTTTCACATTGAGTGCTTCGTGGACCAAAATGAGATAAAGTGGATACAACCCATGTCAGTTCTTGTCGTTCTTCTGGAACGGTATTTTCTCCCCCCAACGGCGGAAAAACTGTCTCATCAAAGTGACAATCCGCAAAACAAGCTATAAAAATATCACTTGTCAAGGGTTCCAAATATCTAATGATAGATGGTGAATCAAAACCTATATAAATTCGTAGTCTGCATTGATGTCCCATTTTAATGCATTGTGGTGGTGCAATAGTCACATAAACAGCATAATAAAAAACTTGTAAATGTGAAATGTTTGGTTGATGCCCAAACATAAGTTGTACTGAGGAATACTGATGGTTGGCTATAGATCTCAATCAAACCAATGATGTAACATGTAAGATGACATGTCCTCATGCAGAAACTAACAATTTTGTTTTCATGAGCAAAACGCGAGCTATTTTTTGAAGCCGCTTGATTAATGTTTCTGCTAAACCATTTTGAGTATGGACATGAGGAACAAGGTGTTCAACATTAATTCCTAGTGTCATGTAGTAATCATCAAAAGTTTGAGACATAAATTCACCAGCGTTATAAAGTTGGATTGACTTAGTAGGGTAATCTGGGAACTGTGCTCGTAATTTAATTATCTAAGCAAGAAGTCTCGCAAAAGCTACATTTTGAGTAGACAAGAGGCAAACATGACACACGCTAACCCGGAATGCCCACTTGGACTCCGAATCAAGCTGTGCTGGCTGATACCTAGAAAGTGACGAAGCCATAAAGTGTAGTATAGCTGAAAATGTAAATAAATTTAAACCTAGAAGTGCCTTAATTTAAGGAGTGCGCTGTGAGTGTGAATGAACCCATTTCACACATGATGACAAAACATAAGTAAAATACAGTAAAGTGGAAAGAGAATTATAACATCGAAGGTAACCGCCTATACCATATTTGCCAAAACTCCTCGTCGATACGAAAACTCCGTTACTAGCGAAAAACAAGGGTGAGTGGGCCTGAAAATAAAGTTTTATAAAAACCTTTATGAAAACATTGTAACCCTTCGCCATAAAACAAGTATAGTTTCCAGAAAATCATACTACATATAAGTATGAAATCAAATGCATGTCAACAGTAAATCCAAAAATATGCCACAGCAGAATATCTCAACAGCAAAATGAATATAATCATAAGCTCAACAATATATACTAGCATGCAAGTCGGAGTCACCTAATGTGACCTGTATGACAGGCTAGATGTAATAATAAACGCTTTAGTGCTACGATCACGTGAAGCTTGTGCTATGCGCAATCACCTATGAGTTAGAACTGCTTATTGCAGTTTGTACGACAAGCTAACACCTACTTGGATCCAAGACAAGCGTGCGGTATTGGGAGGTGAACATACACGTGAAGGTTAGCCTGGCCTCGACTGAGCACTCACCTGAGGTGTAGCATTGATGAGCATTACATTAATATATGCATTTCATAATGATGCAATAATTCCAATCAACATAATAAACATACCTGAACTTACCTGTGCATCTCGTAGGATCATCTTGGTATTTCACAATAGTGCAACATTTCTCATAACATAATTTAATCACGGCATGAAGTGCATAAATCAATTCAAAAGCATTTGTGGAAACTATCAATCATATATATATATACTATAAAAAGGAAAAGACCCACTCACTTGAGGTCCACGCGACAACTCCTTAGCACGAATATTGAGGTGTCACGAACGATTGGCGTCTAGAACAATTATCAAATTACGTCTCAGAATGCTTATCGATAGAACATGTAACTTACATAAAACACATCCCCAAGGACGTTCTAGAATGATTTGAAACCCATTGACCAAAAGTCAACCATCGGTCAAAGGTCAGCGGTAGGGTCCATAACTCTACATAACTCAATGCGGAAGATCCGCACCTTGAATTTCTGATCCGTAACTTCCAAAGATCCACATTATGCTTCTAGAACATCATACTAAAGCTTCACTATGATCCAACGGTTGGATCTCCGCCAATTGTAAATTCAAGTGAAGATCAATACTTTATTTTATGAACTAACAAATCCAATTCGGGAAGATCCGTAAGTTGGATTCCCAACCCGTAAGTTCCTATGGTCCTAAAATATTACTTACTACAACGTATTAAAGTTTAGTGACGATCCAACGGTTAGATCGTTGATTGCTATAATATTCAAGTGGCCGACCTTAATGGAACTAGGTTCAAACGATGGAATTTCATCAATCGGACTTCATATAAGGAATTGAAGTATCAAATTTAGCCTAGGAAGGTCAGGGGATGCCTCGGCCCACACGCCGCTGCCCACATCGGTCGGCCGTCCCGACTCGCCGGAAAAATCAACTATTTCTAAAAATTCTCAAATTTCAAAAAAATGACCCTAGAAATGGGTGTGCTTCAATTCGACCTCCAAACGCACTCGGACTCCTCAACCACTACTTGGGCTTTGTTCCTAGGGTTGAGGGAGGTCTATTGGTGGTGGTGGTTGGTGGAGTTTGCTTCAGAAATGGCAGATTTCTCCGTGGGTGACCTCGGGCTCGCTGGAGAAGACGACATGAGTTCGTTGTGAAATCTCCACTAACCGCCATCAAGTTTGTGTGGAATTTGAAGAGGGAAGGTCGTTGAGTCAAATGGTGGTGATGGGAAACTCCAACTCGCCGGAAAATGGACGGAAATGGCGAAGGAAAAGGCGGCCAGAAACCGGGTTTTGAAACAGGTTACGAGTTAAGGGGATCTGGCCATGGTTTGCTGCTTTCCCTCTTCTCTCCTTTCCCTCATGTTCTCCTTCTTGATTGGTCAGACTCTCCTCCATTTTCTCCAGATTTGGTCTTCGTCTCCTTCTCAAATTGGGAGGCTAATGCCCTTTTTCTTTCTCTCTTCCTCCTCCGTTTCTTCTTCTCCTTCCCTCAACTTTCTAAACTAATATTAAAATAATGTTAAAATAACAATATAATAAATAGTAATTCTATGCAAAAAAATACTTTTCAGATTTGTAGTTCCGTAAAATTTTAACCGTAACTCCAAATTCGCTTCCGCTTGCGCCTACGTGTTCGTAACGATGAGCACTACGAGGATATGCTAAAGGAATGTTTCATACATCTCCCAAAATGATGGTCAACGAAAGTCAAAATCCTTGCCTCTAGGGACATTTTCGTCAATTCACACTTTTAAAATTTATAAAATTGTAAAATTAGGAATGGGTTGTCACAAAACATGTGACCCTCGGGTAGATACATCAATCAAAACCATTAAATATTGAAATTGTGTGGTTGAATAGGCCCACAAGTATCCCCTTGAATTCTTTGCAAAAATGATGGGGATTTTGCATCAATCTGTAATTGTGATGGTCTAATTACCAACGTCCATTGAGAACAAGCCTTGCAAGGGTTATCATTTGATATAACAATGTGTCTGCTCAATAATGGATGTCCATTAAAGTTGGTAATGATTCTATGCATTATGGTGTATCCTGGATGACCCAGACGGTCATGCCAAATCATGTAAATTTTTGGATCAATAAACTTCTAGTTCATAACAGTATGTACTTCAATTGTCTTTATGTATGTATAATACAATCCACTCGATAAACCACGCAACTTCTTCAATGTACGCTTCTAGGTATCATTGGAGGTGATGCATAGATATTCCACATTTCTACACTTTTCGTTTCAATGTGGTATCCATTTAAACGTATGTTTTTAAAACTCAACAAATTTCGAGTCGATCGAGTAGCGTACAACACATTTTGTGAGGACAATATTGTTCCATTTGGTAACATGATCTGGGCTTTTCCTGAGCCTTCAAGTACATTTGATTGACCTGATATTGTTGTTACCTTTACTTTTGTAAGCATTAAGCTTGAGAAATTTTTTCTATCTTGAAGTATTGTATGCGTGGTTGTGCCGCTGCAAGACAAATATCTCTGTCGTTGATCTTGTTTTGAGAATAACCATAGTTTTTATCCATACTTTATGAGTAAGGGAATCATAGTTAAAAACAATTTATTCATAATGAGGAAGACCATTGTACCACACCACTCTAATTCAAATAATATAGCGTAGGATGGATGATTATACCGTACCACTCAAGCAGCATGAAAATTTAAATATGCAGTGTAGGATGAGCGATTATACTGCACCACCTAAAATTGCAGTAAAATTAAATTTGCAGTTCAAGATGAGCGATTGTACCGCACCATCTAAAATTGTAGTAAAATTAACATAAATAAACACTAGGTTAGTAATCAGGACCTACACCATACAAGAAATAAAAAAATATAAATATTTGTTATATTGAGAACTAGGAGAAGGCATGGTGCTAACAGTTTTTGGAGAGAGTACATCAAGCAGGTGAGGTAGAGGAGGAAGAAGAACAGTAAGATCCTTGGAGGAAGCATTTTTCGGTGAAGGGAAATGAGAATTGGTTAGAGTTAGAGAGTCGTGCTGATAACATGTTATAAATAGGCAAAAGTGAGAGAAATAACCTTTGCTAAAGATAGGAGCGAAGCGGGTATCACACTGTTTATTTTTGTAACTATAACACAAAATGATTGCAGGTAAACAGAGGAAGGAAGGGATATTGGTATTAGGGGTTTGATATCCACACACCCCTTTTTACTTCTCACACACCCTTCTAATTTTTGGCCGTCGGATCGGATGAAATGAAGAAGATCAACAGACATAAATTAACAAGGGGTGTGTGAGAAGTAAAAATGAGTGTGTGGATAACACACCCCTTGGTATTATTGCTTTTACCCTTTTCTTTTTTGTTTGTTGTGATCATACATGGAATGCTCCTTATATAGAGCCATATTTGTGAAGAATCATAAAAATGAAATGAGTGCATTTTGAAAAACATCATACAACAACAACAATGCTATTATTCATAAATCTTCTTCACTTTTCATCTTTGGCTAAAATTTGTGGGCATTCATTTCCACAACTTTTACAACATTTTACAGTTTTGCCTTCTCAAGTACTTGTTTGTGAGACTGGTATCCCTGAAAGTTTAGACAATTTGTTGCATTAATGGTACGAAATTTCGACTAATTAATTTTCAAGTGCCACCATTTAAATAGTCAAAATTAGATAGGGGTAAATGCTAAATATGAAAAGAAAAAAGGGTGTAAAAAAAAGGAAAAATAAAATACCTTGTGGGTCCCGTAGATGTAATCGCAGTAGGTGAAAACTGATGCAAAGTTGCTTTTGCTACGTCCTCCGACATAGTGATGGTAGTCATGATACTTTGCACCTCCATAAAATGGGATAAATTTTGTGGGACTCCAAGGGAAGTTGTACCTGCATAATAGTATATATGGAAGTGTCGAATATAAGACATTTCCTTTCAAATGCAGATGAGTACAACTAGAACACAAAAGATGGGAAGTCTTTGTTTTTGGTTGAACTGCCACGAGGTGGTACTGCTCAATGGAAGATTGTACATGCGAGGATGAATTTATACTTTATGACATATTAATAGTAAGGAAAACTAACGAAAATGACTTAAAAACTTTGAGTTTTAACGATAAGGGCAAAATAAAGAGTAAAGTGAATAGTACCAAGATTGACTTTTTAGTGTAAAAATGTAATTTTTCGTTAAAGTAAACAATACCACTGGCTTTTTGTTAAAACTCCCATTATAGTATCATGTGACGGTGTTAAAGTTGATAATGGTTTATATACTTACCCGCTATGAGTTTCGATTGCTTCCAACTGCCGCAAAACGAACCATAACCAGTAGGTGGTAATGTGACAAGGAACCAAAGCTGGGCCGAGGAATGATGGAAGGCCCAGAATCAAAATCTCGGCCCAATGAGCGTATGGTGCTGCAAGCCCAATGGGAGCAGTATATTCATGGTGGACCCGGTGGATCTTCTCGTAGGCCCATTTACAGTGGAGCATCCGATGGATCCAATAATGTGAGAAATCCTCTACAATGAAATACACCACAATTTGCACAAATACTTGCGACAAGTACGGCAATGGCAGACTTGTCCGTATCCCTATCCACTGCAATTACATCCAACAAGATTGTAGAAAATCAGATTTCCGTTTCCCAAGATTTAATATTATTACAGGCGGTTATACATCGTTTTAAATTTTTAATACATACGGCTCATGTTTATCAAAGAGTGCATTCAGTTTTATGTATCTAAATATCATTATTGTAATATAACAGGCTATGTGACGGCTTGTTACTCAACGTAACTATATTTCAGTGTTTAGGCATGCACAGTAGCTATAAATTGACAAGAAAACAAAATTCCATAATTATAAAACAATATTAGGCAGGACTTCCCATTTCTTTTTAAGGTGCTATAAAATGGATGAGGATCATTTTCGGATCCTCTCTGTGAGAACTATAGAAATCAATTCATTTTAATCATTCATCGTACAAAGAGGATTCGGATAGGATTCTGTTCCCTATAAAATTACCTGGACTGTGGAGGATGAAATCACTTGCAGAGGACCAACAACAAGAAGGAAGGTTTGCATGACATCTTTGTAGCACTTGAACATGTTGAAGAAGGAGTCCTTCACTTTTGGCTGAATTTTGTACTTGTCCATGTTCTTGAACCCGCCGAGGCTGATGAATACGTACGGCAGGGGAGCCAAGGTGTAAAACAACATAAGGAAGATAATGTTATGGTAATGGAGGATGTGATCTGGTTTTTTAGCTGAGTATTTGAACCATAGCTTCTCTGCAAAACTTAGAGCCCTACTAAGTGCTTCTTCTGCTTCTTCAATATTCCGATAAGGCAACATGTTTTTAAGTAAACTAAAAGTTTCTGAGGTATGTGTACATGTGAGTTTGTAAAGGATTTATATAGGAATTCTTGTATCCTATAGCTTATAGGGAAGTAATTTTGTGAGTAATGCTAGAGAGACTAAATTTGTTGATAAAATTTCGTAAACTAAATAATATGTAATTAATAGAAAATGAACACGTTTATTAACACTTAAGTACTAATCCATTCATTTTGTCCTTGTGCACAATTTGTTTTTGTCCGTTAACTATGCTTCGATTGACTCAATCTTAAAATGAAGAAAAAAATGGATTGCACGAGAATAAAAGAGGATCTTTGAAATCATTTAGAGGACCAAAGCCAACTAACACCATCAACTAGACGACCACAACTATTTAGTGAAGCAACGTGTTTGTGACATGAATATGCAGGATAATAAATAGGTAGGGTACCAAGTCATATCGAATCACGTGTTTATTAAATCTAGTAAATTATTAATTACGTACCAAATTATCAATTTCGGATATAATATACTTGAATGGTAATGCAAGGGAGACCACGAATTTAAACTGTATAACGTGATTGTTGATGACTATATTATTACTTAATTGTTGATCAACATACTTATTTTCTATAATTGACACATAACATGGTTTACAAATGTGGTCTACAAAATTGATTTACCTAACATTACTCATACCTGAAAAATGAAAGCATCCCATAACCGTATAGTAATGTTATTTGTACCATTGCAATGGACTGTCTGCAGAGATAAGAATCACTCGCACACTTCACACATATCATTCGGGGCCGTCTTTATAATAGAGGGTAGAGTTGGTGTATTGAGATAGTATAAACCCATACCCTTACTACAGTTCTACACTATTCCTTTTCTTTAGTTGTATGATTTGGGGGAGTGTAAGGTCGAGGGTGAGGGAGATGGTAAGGGTTTGGATGTGGGTTTTGAATTTTATGGTATTTTTCGTATCTGTCAGAATTCGAATTTTAGTTTTTGTTATTGGGTATGATTCCGTTTTGCCTGATATTTGATGATGGAAACTGTTTTTGCATGACCATATCTTAAGCGTTTCGTCCTTGAATAATTGTTTTCGGGGAGTTTTATTATCTCTTTTCCTTTTAACACATGTTAAATAAGATGGGGGCGGTAGACAAGGATGGAGCTAGTAGGTGGGTGCCCCTTCTCAGTGTAGATGTCATCGGGCAAAAAATTTGTATACTTTTGCATTCCAACCAGCCCTAATTAAACCATAATTAAAAAAAAAATAGGTAGACAACTAAAATATGTCTAGGTTTTTGCATCCCCAATGCCCCAACTTGATGACAATTAAATTAAATTAACAATTAATTTAATTGAAGGGGGTTATGCAGCTTTTTGCATCCCCAACGCCACCACTTGATGACAATTAAATTAGGAATGTGATATCTATACACCCTATTTTACTTTTCACACACTTTTTTAATTTTCGGCCATCAGATCAGATGAATTGAAGAAGATCAACGGACAGAAATTATCAAGGGTGTGTGAGAAGTAAAATGGGGTGTGTAGATAGCACACCCCTTAAATTAACAATTAATTTAATTGAAGGGGGTTATGCATTTTGGGCAAAAGGGAGGGGAGGAGTGGCGGGTTTTGGGAGAGTAAAGTTAACGAAGTGAAAATCTTAGAGGGGGTTATCAAAGCGGACTGATGAACTAGTTGTCCATGACTCTTTAGCCTTCAACATTCAGTGTGCAAGCTCCGTTTTCAAAATAGGCCAGCGTTTGCTTGCTCGAACTCGCGAGGTGAAGTTACTAACTTCTGAGGGTGACAATTCTTAGAGAGGAAATAAGAGGACTCAAATAGGAAATAAGGAGTTGCATAGACTTGTGGCAAATTAATCACATCCATGAGAACGAAGCTTGACCAATTGTAGGAATCTGAAAGTTGGATTCATAAGTGTGGAGTTAAAAATAATCTCAAAAATCCTGGAGGTGACATATGAACTTTCAGCCAAAAAAGATAAGATTGCCTTTATTAAATGAGCAGGGCATTTCACGCGCAGCTTAGCATCCTAGGACATGCGGGCAACATGCTATGACTGCTAAGAGCTCCACTGCCTGCGAAAAAATCAAAGGTATTTAATAATAGGATTATCTCTAAATTCTATCATAAATACATTCTCAATTGAAGACAAATCCTATCAAGTAAGTAATCCCAATTATATTTAATTAGGGATAATTACCTCTATTTCCAAGATATTATTTACACAATTTCTTGAAAAAATTCTCACATAATCAACCCTAATGGCCCACCACCTCCTTTATAAATACCCCAATTATCTATAACAAAAAATGGGACGCCTTTTCTATACACAGAAAACCTTAAACACTCAGTCTTTTAAGAGAGGCTAACCTAGGCATCAGAGATCCATTGGTCAAACCCCCCTCCTCCCCCCCTCCCCCGCCTCACCTCATTGTGGGCGTATGAGGCTTTTGGTCTTTGATCGAAGGTGTTGATTGTTTTGTAGATGCATTTTCGTTAAGACTGAAGACGGTGAAAATTTGCATTGACAAATTGGTGCTTTTATTGAGAGCCTGATTCAAACACTTGAAGAAGACTATCGCATTCAACATTTCTAATTTTTTGTCCATTTGTAGGTTTTCCCACATGTACCTTTCTATTGAATTTTCTTATAAATTATTTTAATTTCTCTAGGAAAGAAATACAATGGCGGGAAATCAGAAACCATGACGAACGAAATTTCCTACGTTCAAGGATATAGACCAGACGATGGAGATTGTGACTTGGCCCACGTGGCAGCCCTGGCCCACGATGAACAAGCTACCATGTAGTAGCGAACCCAGACCCGTGCCACCTTGAAGCAGCAGACCCAAGCCCACACCATAAGGTAGCCAGACACGGCGAAGCGTGCGACGGCCCAATCTGCCACAGAAACTGCCAGCTAAGCAGCCTAGTAGGCCAGGCCTAAGCCACCCATCCAGCAGGCCACGTCGCCTTGGCCATGCACATAAGACACTAAATCCAGCCAATCCGAGCCGACCCATGCCGTGCCAAAAGGGACCAGAGCCCAAGCCCAGCATGATCCTAGCGCGTCTTTGTGCCCATGCGCCTCGTATACTGCCAAACCCACTTCCGTGGCCCAGCAGGCAATCCAAACTGGATCGACGATCAAACCGGATGTATTTTCACCCTGTTTTTCTGCAGATTTGGTCATTCTCGGATCGAATCCAGCACTCGGAGTCCATTACACTTCCACCATTTAAAGAGACGCATACTGTCCAAGCTTTTCCACTCTAAACGGTGAACAACACTTATCCCAACAGGTCATAGAGTTGACAAACGCCTTCACACTGCAGATGACCTTGGTGAATCAGCTTTTGCAGTGCATTGAGATGCAACGCACTCTAGACGAGGTCTCCTGAAGCTGGACAAAGGCAGACGACATCCCTCTCCAACATCATCCTGGTAAGCAGCCCATCAACTAGCCACGGACAGAGCGTTCTGGCAGTGTACGCTCTAGCCTAGGCCTTCAGGATAACGTATACTCTCGTCTTAGCTCGTGGAGGAATGTGCACTCCTGGTTAGCCTCACGAGAAACATACATTCACGGTTGGGCCTACACTCTAATGATCAACATGGACAACCATTCAGGCGAATGTTTATTTATGACTAGGCTAGCAAGAAACATCATCCACCTCACATCGGAGTAGGCAGCATGGTAGACGGAGAGAAGCAGTCACTTAATCTGGCTCAAGTTCAACCGGTAGCTTGCACCTAGCATAACCACAAGCAACATGTTCGCTTAGTAGGAACGAACCACATGCATCGCAACCGCAACATAGACGAGCCAAGCATAGGGAAGAGCAGCCTAGACCACCAGGTCTCGACTAATGGCAGTTGGAAGCTTGGCTGCCTAGCAGAGGCAAATTTAAAAGGAAGTAAAGAAGCTCCTAACTGAACGATTACGCATATTCTAGCTTATAGAAACCATTGATGAGACACTCCGACGAGACGTAACCACTATTAGCAGGTCACCTTTCACGAACGACATCGAGCAGACAGAGTCATCGCGCAAGTCTAACATGGCACATTTCACCCCTTTCAAGGGAGTCGGAGACCTAGAGAGCTTCATAAAGCACTAACGCAACGCAATGATCCTTTTCCAGAGTAATGATGTGCTCATATGCAAGATATTTACCACCACTTTACAAGGCGAGGCGTATGATTGGTTCCACACTCTGCCACCATGATCTACTGAAGTTTCAACAAGCTTTCCTTGGTTTTCACCAAAGAATACTCATCATACTGCTCGATAAAAAAAAGAGTTCAACCACCTATTCAACATCAAGAAGAACTTAAAGGAGGCACTTTGCGACTATGTGAAGAGGTTTAAAGCAAAGAAAGCGAAGATAGTCAGATGTAATGACTTAATTGCCAGTGCAGACTTCTAGGAATGACTCCTAGCAAACCACCCACTATTCAACGAGCTAATCATGGGAGAATATTTGACTTTGGCAGACTCATTCGCTTTGGCATGGAAGCATGCACTCTGGGACGAAGCTCAATGGGCTGACAAACAACCCGAGTAACCTCAGAATGAGTCGAAAGTAGCCAAGAAAAAGGTGGACACGAAGTAATACAAAGACAAGAACAAGCAAGGGGCCAAGCATAGAGACCGGTCCCCGGTGAAAATAGGCTTGACCATCAAAGACTATACCAAGTTCTCAATCTCAATCAACCAGATCATTCGTGACCTTAAGAATGAACCTTGGTTAAAGCTGCCAAACTAGACAAAGGAAGACACCTTCAAGTTGGATCACACCAAATACTACACGTTCTATTGAGGTCCCGATCACATGACCGACAACTGCTATACCTAAAGGGATTATTTGGAAAAGCTTAAGAAGGAAGGCAAGTGCGATGTTACGCAGCCTAAGAAAAACGCAAATGCAAATGAATAGTTGCTTGCCATATCAGTGTGACAATTCTAGTAGCCAACGACAACCTTGTACCCATCGTCGTCTTCACCAAGCATGATGCCGAATGTGTAAGCTTCCTACACAACGACGCTCTGGTTGAATCTGTCCAACAGGCCCATGCTACAGTCAACATAATAATGATGGACAATGACAGCATAGTCAACCTACTTCAACTTTCAGTCATTTAGAAGATGAGCTTGGAAAACACGATCATATGCTGAGTAGAAGTACTTATCGGATTCAACGGTCACACCCCGATTACTATAGGTAAAGTAACACCTGACATGAGAACACCACTAGTGGTCTCAAAGTAGACGTTCATGATAGTCAACGACCGTCTCCCTATAACGGGATTCTAGGTCAGCCCTGGCTTGTGAGACTGGGCGCGGTAACCTCTGTCGAGTACTAGAAAATCTGATTCCACATCTTAGGAGAAGGAGTCGGAGAGTCAAGTCAGACTAGGCTGCATCCTGACGATGCACTGTACATGTTTTGAATAAGTTAAAGAAGAAGTCCTTTATTCCAGTAAAAGCTACTAAAACATAGAAGGACGACCCAACTACCAAATAGCAATCATAGCAGACGGATCAAAATGATATTGTTTGAGACAAAATGTCAGCGTGCGAGGTAAAATGGAAGCCCGAGGAAGACACTGAATACATCATTCTTAATCCCCAACAGTCGGAGAAGACGGCTAGAATAGGCTCAGATTTAAGCCAGAAGGAAAATGAGAAACTTACGACTTTCCTTAGGTAAAATCATGACATTCTCGCATGGTCACCATTCGACGTGCCCAACATCGACCCCGAGATAGCTTGCCACAAGCTACATGTCGACCCCATTGCCAAACCAGTGATCAGAATAAAGAAAACATTTCGTGCCCAAATGCGTAACAATCATTGAGGCAGGGATTGACAGCCTACTGGAGGCCGGATTCATCGAGGAAGTAGCACACTTAGCATGGCTTGCCAATGTTGTGCCAATGATGAAAAAAGAAAAGGGCAAATAGAGAGTTTGCGTGGATTACGCCGACCTTAACAAAGCATGCCCCAAGGATCACTACCCAGTTCCTCGGATCGACCTACTCGTAGGTTCAACCTCTGGGAACCAACTGCTTAGTTTCTTGGACTGTGAAGACCTATATTTAAATATTATTATTTATTTTTATTTAGTAATTAAAGAAATTTTGATTAAATAGACAAATATATATGTTTCAAATTTATTTAGTTGTGGGTGTCCACGTGTTGGCCAAATGAAAGGATTGGCATGCTTGCAATTTGAAAGGATGAATAAGTAATTATAGGACTACTTGGAGAGCACTCCAATTTGGAGGTGGCAAACCAGTTTTCATCTTTCCTTTTGAGTGACACCTCCCCCTTCACTTTGATTATTAAACACTTGTAGCTCGTGCTTTGCATGATGATAAAAAAAAAGAGCAAGCCTTATCTATTAGCTAGGTGTAGCTGCCTTATTTGTTCTTCTCTATCAAGTCGACAACTCCTCCTCTCCAATTGCTGACTATTCCTTTATATATATGTATCTGATGCGTAATCATCAAGGATTGTATAAGTATAAATAGGGACCTCAAGAGCTGCAAACTCTAGTAAGAAACGAGTCTAGTGAGAGATGAATAAAGAGAAGAGGGAAAAGGTACTTTGGGTCGGAGAAAGTGAGCGAGTGAGAGAGGGGATGAGAAAAGAAATTAAGATGAAGGTTGAATTGGATGTCTGCGGAGATGGCAAACAAATTAAGGTATAAGAGAAGAGAGCTGCTGTGTTGATGATGGTCAGTCGGCTTTGAAAGAATCAAATAAAGGAGCAAGGTCGATTACGGTGGACTAATGTCCTTCTGCCAGTATGAGGAGAACACAGACACAGAGGGGTAAGTACTAATTCTTTGACCTAAATGGTAGAGCTTCTGAGCTTTTAATTAGGGTTGTGATTGAATGGAGTTAGACAAGAAAGTATTAGTATTATTATAGTTTACAGTGAATCGTTTGGTTGTGATGGCTCTTATGAAATTAGCTCCACAAAATCCAATCCTACAATATTGCTATCTTTAGCAATACTGTTTCAAGTATATATGTCAATTGATTTCTCAGCGAGTTATGTGTGTGTGTGTGTGTGTGTGTGTGTGTGTGTATATATATATATATATATAAAGCAGCATATTAGTATCAGACTACATGTATACACTAATCGGGTGAAAGGGCTATTATCTACTAACTTGATCCAAGCTTGTTATCTTGATATCAAGATACAGACACATGATATAAATAGTTCCAATTATATATAAAGTAAAGCATATGTCTTGGAGTTGGAAATAATTGTATTATGCATAGACATGGTTTAAAATGCCACCTTTCTTAATTATATACCAGAAGAAAACATGCATATGTATATTTGAATTTCCCATGCTCCTGATTTTCTAAAAGTTGTACTTATTCAAACATTTAGTTTGTTATGACCAAGCTATTCTAGATCAACCAAAATGACGTTTAAATTGGTTGGTGTTCAATTAGTAATACCAAGTTATTTGACTGGGGTTAGAGTTCATGTCATGCTTTTTAGTAATTGCTTACACTTGTGAATAGGAGTTGCTGAAGGTAGACTCTTGTAGTAAAGAGTCGGAGCAGTGCTTTGGAATCTAGGTAGGGGAAATACGGCAGACCTTTACGGAGATTGGTTTTATTAAATTTTGTGAAGCATTATACTATTATTATCGATCTTGTTGGTTGATTAATGTGATATGGGTTGCTAATTGGATAAATACTGGTCTTGCGTGTTTTCTTGTTATTGGTTATGGAATTATTGGTGAAATGCTATTGGTTGAGAATATACTATGGTATATGTGAATGATATATGAAAGTATTTGTGAATCATTCATAATTGGTCATGTGGTTGGAGTTTTCAGTGGTGAGAAGGAATTGGAAATGGAGGTAGTTGGAAATGATCTTTTGTGTAGTTGAGCCAAACTCTTAGCACGTACCAGGTCTCAAGCGAGCTCACAGTGCACAAATTCTTTAAGGGTAATTCGGGACTAGCTACGAAGGGTTTTGGCAAGATGACTAACAAAAGGACAAATTGGGATGATTGAGTTACAGGGGGTTAATTTGTATATTAAAACATTCGAACCACCACTGCAGAGGTAAAATGCATGGTATGGGATGTGCAGGTCCGCGTGTTTTATTATATGAAGTAACGGGCAGAGATGAAGAGTATTGCATTGCACTCATACATTGTTATCGATGATGATTTGATACTGATTATAAGATGTCATGATACTTAATATTGTCAATCTACTATGGTAAGGTTATGTCCCTACTGAGCTGTTGAAGCTCACCATCTATTGTTATGCAGGTTTACTAACTAAACTATCAAAAGGGTAGACGGGATGAGACGAAATAGATGTGAGGCTAGAATTTGTATTTATTTATTTAGCCTTGTAAAGAATTATGGATTTCTTTTTATAAGAGGAAATTTATTTTTCACTTCGTTATTTCAGTTTTATTTTATTTATTTAGTTTTTAGTTCGCGTTTTGGACTCAGGATCGAATTTTCCACCTACCCCAGGTCCAGGGCGTGGCATGGACACATACTCAGGCTACAATCAAATTGCAATGCACGAGCTTGATAAGAAGAAAACCCCATTTGTGATCGAGCGAGGCACATATTGCTGCAAGGTCATGTTTTTTTGCTTGAAGAACGCATGAGCTACTTACCAACAGCTCATAAACACAATGTTCAAGAAACAAATTGGGGTCACCATGAAGGTCTGTGTCGACGACATCATGGTGACGGGCAAGCAACGGTCAAACCACATCGCTAACCTAGCAAAGGCATTCAACATCTTAAGGGAGTGCAAGATGAAGCTCAATCCCGCCAAATGCACTTTCGGAGTATCCTCAGGAAAATTCTTAGAGTGCTTTGTCATACAACAAGGAACCAAATCGTATCCAAGCAATCCGAGCGATCTTGGAGATGTAGTCCCTCACTACCCTGAAAGAAATCCAATGTCTGACTCGACGAGCAGTTGTGCTCAACCGTTTCCTTTCGCGTTCAACTGATCGATGCAAGCCATTTTCAAGGTAATCAAGAAGGCGCAGTGAGACAAATGGGATGACGAGTGCGAGAAAGCATTTCAGGATCTGAAGAAGTACCTGACATCACCTCCCCTACTATCTAAGCCAGAAGCAGCGGATGACTTATTCATTTATTTGACAGTGTCAGAAGTAGCAGTGAGCTCTGCCTTCATAGGAGAAGAGCTGGGGGACCAATTGCCAGTATTCTACACTTCTAAAGCTCTTCTCGATGCTGAAACCAAATACCCAAATATCGAGAAGCTAATTTTGGCACTAATTATTGTAACTCGAAAACTCATACCATACTTCCAAACACATATAGTCATCGTCATGAACCAATTTCCCCTACAATCTATCTTTCAAAGGTCCAGACGTTTCTTAACGAGTGATGAAATGGGCATTGGAACTTAGCCAATACTGCTTAGTTTATCAACCCTGCACGACGATCAAAGCCCAAGACTTTGCGGATTTCATAACGGAGTTTACACTTAGCTTAGAAGACTCAACAACACAGCCCAAAGATGCCTCGGAGGCAGCCGAGCACGCCCTGGCTGCACCATCCCTACCTGACAAGGATTTTTGGCATTTACACGTCAACAATTCGTCAAACTATAAGGGCTCTGGAGTAGGCTTAGTTCTCATCACCTCAACGATTCAATGCTCGAGCAGGCGATCACTCTTGGCTTCAAAGCATCTAATAACAAAGCAGAGTATAAAGCCTTACTAGTAGGCCTCCGAATGGCAAAAGACTTGGCGATAAATAAGCTCAAAATCCATTCTGATTCTTAAGTAATCATCAGCTAAGCTACCAGGGAGTATGCAACAAAACATTCAAGGATGGCCCAGCACCTCAAGTAGGTGCAAAATCAACTCATGACATTTCAGACCTACACCATTGCTTAGGTTCCATGAGAAGAAAACGCTTATGCAGACTCGTTAACAGGCCTAGGTTCTGCCCTTGATGATCAATTCAGAAGCTCTATTTCGGTCGAGTACTTGGAAAAACCAAGTGTAGAAACAGAACTAGCAGTTGAGGTGTCACATGTTAGTACACCTCCAAACTGGCAAGATTCCATTATAGACTACTTGTCAAATGAGACACTCTCCACACACAGATTGGAGTTTAGAAAGCTCTAAATAAGGGTAGCACGCTACTACATGTGGAACGATATTCTTGTTCAAAGATCTTTCATTGGACCACATCTTCGCTGCCTAGTGCCTCTCGACGACCTGAAGGTTCTAAGGTTAATCCACGAAGGCATTTGTGAAAACCACTCAGGAGACCGCTCCTTAATGCAAAAGGCTTTTAACGCAAGCTACTATTTGCAAACAATGCACCAAGATGCTAAGGAATTTTTGCAAAAGTGAGATAGCAGCCAAGGCCATAAGCTGGTACCAACATGGCTTGCTAACAAACTACACTCTCAAATGACACCCGTTACTTGGGCAGAGGCATGATGATCGTGGCAAATAACTACTTCACCAAATGAGTGAAAGCAAAGCCCATGGCGACCACAACTCAGACCGACATAGAGCGTTTCATATGGAGGAACAATATCTGCTAATTCGGCATCCCTCAATCTATCATCACAGACAACGGCCTGCAATTTGTTGGCAAAGATTTGGCAAACTTTTTCCAGAAATATGGCATCAAGCAGCTCATGTCCATGGTACATAATTTTTTTTTTTTTTAGATTTCTATGTCAAGAAAGATATTTTGAATGACTTGAATAAAAGCCTTGGTATCCGCATGGCAACATGCAGGTCGAGGCATCCAACAAAACAATCCTCGACTGCCTCAAGAAATCCCTCTCAAACAAGAAGGGAAAGTGGCCAGACAAACTTTCTAGTGTTTAATAAGCATATCGCACAACCAAATGATGAGCAACTGATGAAACTCCTTTCTCATTGGCATTCGGTTCAGAAACAATCATCCCTCTTAATGTCATCGTGTTGAGTATCAGCACTCTACTGCCAAGCATTGAGCATAACAGAAATAAGATGGCCACAAACTTAGATTTGGTAGAGGAAGAACTCGAAAAGGTCATCACCCGCATTGCAGCTTACTAGCAACAACTCATTTCTAACTACAACAAAAGGGCGAATATCTAGCAGTTCCAGCCTAAAGAACTAGTTCTAAGAAAAGCCTTCATCACTGCCCGCATAGAAAGCTCTAAAAAGATGGATTTCATATAGGAATGTTAGTACAAGATCAGCAAAGTAGGCGATAAGTGTAGTTACACCCTTACCACCATGAACGACAAAAAGATTGAAAAGTAGTGGAATGCCTAAAATCTGATAAAGTACCATGCATGACCTCCCGCTGCACCTTAAGCACTGCTCAGACCGAATCGAAGACTCAAGCAACTCGACCAGCATTACCTCGCATGTCGAGGGCTATCCAGTTGTTATGCAATTTCTACCTTACAACAAAGTTTCATTCAGTTTGCTTGTTTTTCAATGAGGAATTTAAAAGTTATTTACAAGTTAGCTCGATTGCATGCCTACAACAACTGATCACTCATGTTTCTCACTTAAGAACGCGCCATTTCTGGGACTTACCGCAAGAATTGCACCCCTTGGGGACCAACCATGCTTTTTCCCTAGAAGAGGGTAAACTAGAACTCTGAATATCCATACGTGAATGGGTCGGGCTGTCCTAATGTAACTGGGCACACGATGGCCTGCGTTGGCATACTTAAAATTAGCCACAATGGTTTTTTTCAAGACTTAGCTTACTTAAGGATCTTTGGCCTTTGGCCTAATCCGTGGGGACCCAAGCCTCAAAGACGGAGGAGGCACGCAACACAGTTCGTCGGTTGGATGGCTGCTCACGGAGATGGACAATAGTTGAGCATCCTTAATTTGACTAGACTAGCATTCATAGTTGAGTATCCTGTATGTAAGCATCTAGCAATCTTTATGCTACGTAATAGTGTTCCCACTACCCATGGAGGGACTTCCCGATTAAGTGTCCTTGATGTGACCAACTAGCATTTATAGCTGAGCATCTTTGGCGTGACACATAGACGATCTCTACGTGGATATGGAATTCTAGCTCCGATTGCATGCAAGGGTTAAACACAGTTGAGCATCCTTGATGTGACTAGTCAACTGTCACGGCTAAGCATCTTGTATGTGACCAAATTGCAATCTTTATGTATCCTGGAACACTAAATCATGTTGTCAGTTCACTGAGTAGTCTACGGATTCTAGAAAACTGCCTACGGCTTACCTTTCAAGCAGTTAGCCGCCCAAACTCATTCAACCACACATTCTTGTGAGAGGGTAACAGTTAGCGTGCACGTATAAAGTTCTATTTGTTGTTGACATGCTACGCAACCTACAAGTTTTATCCCTGCCAAGCGAAGAGCATCCATTTGGGTTAACGCTGATTCCTAAAGTGTTGTGCTACTACACAACTTACAGATTTGGTTATATAAAGTGCAAAGTGTTCTTCCAAACCATGGCCCAAGAAATTCCATATTTTTATTGCTAAAAGTTAGCAAATTTTGTGTCCCAGTAATCTTTATTATGTTGTGATGCAGGCCATGTAGCTCAAATGATTGGAGAATCAATACCCTAGAAAGCCAAAGCTAACAGCTACGTGTTCACATGGATTCATCCTCTTCTGTAAGTGAGACATCCAGCTAATGACTCAATGGCTAGCAGCTTTGCAAAGGTTATATACCAAGCATGCGACCATATAGGCCATGCATACCTGTTTGCTTATAAAAAAGAAGCACGCTTGTAGACGATCTAATGGTCAAAAGTTTGGTGAACCACTGATATGAAATGTACAACTATAGTGGCTACGCATACTCATTTTCTTTGAAAGCAACGTTTCTGGCTGCCGACCCTATAAGTTAAAAGTTTCAAAATATGCCTCAAGCAAGTGGAATTCACACAACTCCCACAAAGCTAGTGCCTAAAATGATGAAGTGGGTTTGCCTGCCCTATCTGAAGCAACCTGCCCAACCACTCGTCATATGACCGGATGCTTATTGAGGCAGAGGAACGAAGATGGAGTAAAGTGAAGAAAACAGTTTATTAAATTACTAGCTAATTGATAAATAAGCTCGAAGGCTGACAAAGTTCAAGCAAAAGAAAGCAAAAAAAAGAACAGAAAGAAAATTCCTAAGTCTAAGATTACTTATCGGCAACCTCACACCTTCAGCAGTCGTATCGTTTTGAGCAGCGACACCTTCCAACACTTCATCTTTAGTAGCCATAGCCTGGGCAACGCCATCCACAGTTGCTCCAGTCTGAGCATCATCCTCATCAAATATCTTGCCAAAAGTGGGCTCGAAGAAAAGGTAAGCATATTCTCTAGAGAAATGGAGAAAGTCTCGAAGTCTTTCCCAGCAAATTCATAGTCTAACGACCTACCAAAGAGAGAATCTACAT